AGGCCTCACCGGACCACGTGTTGCATTTCTCGCACACTGCACCACGAAAACTCCTGGTGGTTGGGCCCCTTGTCGATGTAGCTCATGAGGTACCCGTCGTCCCAGGGACAGTTTTTTGATCCCGGATGTCCGTTTACACCCAAGAGAGGGTCACTTCCATCGTGTGTGGCACCCAAGCTTTGAAAAATATAAAAAAAAAGAAAGTGCGTGAGAAATTACAGGTGCAAACGATTCCAGTGGTTTTTCGTGTATACGGAAGGACATGATTGGATCGCAATTCAGTGGAGATGATTGGTGTTAAGACAGCACATAGCATACGTTAGCCGCCATTAGCTGCCACCCTGTGGGCCTGGCTTCACTTCCAGCTCGATCCTGATTTTTTTGTTACTTGCGTGATAGCACTTACGGACTGCGGTGGCAGCGGACATTTATGCCCCCGAAATTCGGTATTGCGATCTCTTCACAGCTTTCGCAGTAAAACATTTCTATGGGGTCACTTTGGAGAAGTCCTGTCAGGACATTGCTGAATGGTATGTTGTGTTCGATGTTATGATATAACCAATTTCGCGGTCCTTAATTAAGGGGTATTCGGTGCGACCTTCACTATCAATTGGTTTCCTCGAAGGTCCGATGATGAGGAACTGCATTAAGTCTGGCTTTATAGTAAGAATGCATGGCACTGGACGATTCAGTGCGCAAAGTCAACTCTTACAGCTTCAATGAAAGCTTCATGATTGGTGATGGCTACGATGACGTAAGAATGGCCGTTGCCACTTACGATGGCGTGTGAAAGAAAAGGCTAGAAGGTGAAAGTGCAAGTTTGGGGGTGAGCAGCACTTAAAGAATGACTTGTACGCAAAGATATACGAGTTGATAATGAGATGTAGGGGGCCTGATTGAGTGAAATGTGGTACATTTCGTGAGATAGAGATAAGCTGGCAATGTGATGGTGACAAGAATGAGTGATGATGCCTATTTCCGTCTTCAATAAGAATACACTTATGTTGTATGAATATAGTGAGTAGATGAATCGGATAGAACATTACTGCTACACCTCAAGTGCGTCTATATGAGTTAACTTCGGTGAAGGTTCTAGATAGCGAGATGCGAATTCCAGTTCTGAATGAATAAAAGCCTTGTGGGCAAATACTTTAACCTGAGGAAGGGCCTTTCGTAAAGGACTCCCGAGGAAGCCTAAAGTTTGGTTACTGCATGAATGATATGGTACTGAATGCGGTACTGTGTCACCATGGCAACGCGACACAGTGTCACCAACTGGACTTTGACACAGTCTACTTACAGGTGGGCCGTCTCGTGAGTGAAGGTGTGCACTCCAGTGAATAATCCTGCTTCGTCTTCGCCCAGTCCTACGTATGTCGATTCACAAACACCAGCCACATAAGCAATGCCTGCAAAAGCGACAAAACTGTGAGTAGCCGCGGCGTCATCCATTCGTATTAAGTGCTGTATATAGCATCTCGTTAATTCAGTAACGCCACGTTTTGGGTGCGTTGGTATGTCATACTGAAGCTTACAGTAACCTCCTCCCTTCAATAAAAAGAAAAACAAAAACAGAAAAAAAATGGTCAAGGAAAGACGTGACACAATTGAGTGCTTACTTACAACAATGTCATTTCAAAACTGGGAATCGCGCATGTCGGCAACATTACTTCTCATCCATCATCATTACAAGCACTTTGCGAATTCAGCTATATTGTCGTAGATAGACTAACTCCTTTAAGGAAAGGCCAATCGACGGTTTAGTAATACATTTGTCTGCCAGCTTATCAATCAGTATACAGCCTGTATAGCTTCATGTGTTAGCTGACCTCTGCTGGTACTAAGAACTGAACGCTCCTGAAAATTATGCTTGCACGTGGTGTGAACATCGCCACTTGCATTGACACCTGAATTAATGCAGTGCGTGCAGGGTAATCGAGAAATACCCCCCTTCCTATAGCAGCCGTAAACGGAAAACGACCTATAGCCTTATTTTTAGGTATAGGGTGATTCTTTTATAACCGACTCAATTCATGGCGCTGCAGTTTTATTGCAATGTATCTAATTTCTTGCTCTTTAAAAGTGCGTGGGTTTGAGCTTGTTTATACGGCTTCATCTTGGCAAAACAGAAGCGTATATATTTGTGCTTGCACAAACAAACGCATTTGTTGGTAGCAGGGGGGGGGGGGGGGCTCCTAGTCATTTAAAAGGGGGCGTGAAATCAGTCTCATATATTGATATAATTAGGAGCGCTACGAGAGGGGACGCAAAATTAGCTCCCTATATTGACAATATGGAGGGGAAGCAGTGTGTCCAACCTTCACTTTCCCCCTCCCTGAAGTCTCCCTGCGCAAACCTGGGAGCACGTGGGCTAGATTACTGCGAACTTATCACTCACCTAGGGCAGCCGACGTGAAGTAACCCTTGTAGGTGGTATATATGTCTTCTCTGTGTGAGAATAGAAAGACTACATCTTTAATTGCTCCAGTAAGGATCTCTATCAAACAACAATAAGAGAGGATGATGTATACTTTATCATGAGGTAGACGAGATCTGGGTCACCGTAAATGCCTTTCCTGTCATAGGCGTATTTACTAAAGTTAGTTAGGGTAGGGCTGGAATGAATGTGACCTTCCCGTCGAACGACATAGGACTCGCTCTGGAAAGCAGATGTTGAAATTTTATGTTTCAGCAAACCAGACATATGCGTGCCGTAAGGACAAAGACAGAAAATAAGGGTGGATTCACCTGGCTAAATTCCACTCCAGACACAACAAGTTGGATTTTTGGGCTGTACGTCGAAGCTAACCGCAGATTTGCCTAAAACAACAATGAAGCATTTAGTGCACATCAAAATAACAGACGCCTTACTCAACTCCTAACTTATAGAAAAATCAACACTATTATGCAAACAATTGCCTTAATTTAACTTGGTACTAATAGAGTAATATCTAATTTCTGATCTTTTCTCACTTTTTAGGACAATACTACATTTTTGCTCGTAGCTTTTCGCATAAGCTTCTCAGGCGGAAATTTTGTACCACCACTCGCAAGCCGTCAGGTCAAGGTCACCAAAGTTGTACGTATAAATGTACAGAACCAGATCTATTTTTTTGCGGCGCCCGCGAGTGATTCCCGCTTTAGGTACTTGGAGTAACTGTTAATATGGCTGACATGGTAGGGCTATTAGCATCCCTTCAGTATTGTAATGTTTTCGTTTTCATTGAAGGTATTGTTGATGCTGGTACAAAAAAAAAAAGCGCCTAAGCCTAAAAGCTTGGCCAACGTAAACCAACGCTTAGAACAATAAACTGGAACAGCATCTAGTCATAGCCTCTTGGAGGGCATGGTTCAAAAATCCCGAAATATACGCCAAAGTTATCATGTTTGCCGTATGGCCTGGATAGCTAAATAGCAAAGCTGAAATTTACTCGCAAGTGAAGTAGGTTTTTGGAGATACGTTCGAGGCAGAGCTCTAAGAAAGTTAATTAATTAGCGGACTCACCGAGTTAGTAAGAACGCAGAGATACCACAAGGCGTATCCCTGGTGAACAAAATATGTGTGGTGGCTTTTGTGCAGAACAAAGTACACTTCTAATTCGACAAGAGCCGGAATTTCATCGCTGAGGGAAGACGTTCTTTCGTCTAAATGGTGCCTCCATCTGCAATTTCAAATATCCCGTTGGCTTGAAAGGCAAACACACTAACAAGCCAAGCTGAAGTAACAACAGCAGCAGCAACTAGTGTTCTGACTTTAACATTATGTTGCGACCCAAAACCTATGCGCTATCGTGTCTCACACTTGGCAACGTTCACAGTTCGGGCTGTCCGCACAGCGGATGAGGTGTGTGTTGCGGCGAGTGTAGGCAGCACCCGGGCGAAAAACGCTTGCTTCAATTAACGCTGGTAGGAACAGGTGTGGCAACGCTTAGTGACAGTGCAATTTTATCAGCAATGTGTAAGCAGAAGACATGATCAAAAACTTCTGCGAGGGCTGTGGTCGGTTTCTTAAACAGTACAGCACTGGACACTAAACTCTAACGAAGCCACAGCTGCATCGTTATTGAATATGCGCAAACCTTTATTTCTGTCCCCGTCATCACCTTTCGTTGCTTCTTTTTTCCCTCTGTTCCTCTTCTCCCGAACAGAGTAGCAGGCTAGAACTAACTAGCTCAGACGGACCTCGTGGCCTTCAAATAAATCCTCTCTCTCTCTTAGCTTCATGTTTCCCATTCATATTTTAAATAAAAAAGGAAGAAGAAAGGCCAGGAGGTCAACCAGACATGCACGTGGTTTTCTACCTTACCCAGGTAAAAACGTCTTGAGGGATTAAAAGGAAGAACAAAAAATTTCGGCTGATCCCACGCACAGCGAGAATCCGTTACATACGAGCCTTTTGCTAGTACGATTAGAAGCCACAGATGGGGCTATGTCACACAAAGAAATAACCCTTTCCTTGGTATTACATGCGAAGCAGCTCTTTGACTAGTCTGTGCAACGCTGTTCCTCCGCACTTCCTTCAACGCAGGTTTGGAGCAGTGCCAAGTGGGTCATGCCGCAGCTGCGCATTGACATCACGCTCCTCTTGCTGTGTGCGCTCGCTAACGTCACTCTCTCTCTCGCCTGCCACGCGCTCGCCGCAACTCCCTCAGCTGCCACCACGTGCGTTCTCCCGCAACACTTGCCGCCACCGCCACTCGCTCCGCTACCGCGACCGCCACTCGCTACACCGCCGGCTCATCAGGTCATGCGCAATAAACCTGACCCACACCTAACGTAAGTGTTGGGTTGAAACATGTCTGCACGTGTCACCTTTCTCTCGCTTCATCCTCTCCACAGCTCACTGCTTCACATGATCATATCTCATCAGGGCTCTCTTTGGGAAAATGGTGGGAATCTTTTCTTTGCGTGACATAGCCACATCTGTGGCTATGCCGCGTACACAGTTTGAACTACGATGACTGTGATTTAGGTTGCGTGCAGTGCGCCGATTTCGCAAACCCAGTGAACTCTGTTGACTTGCGGTGATCATTTCCATGGCGGTGGGGCTGGCTTGTAGATGCTAAGTGGCGAAAACTTTAAAATCAAAGAAAAATATTTAGTTCATGTTCCCTGGCTTGAGTGCGCGAAGAGCGTTGAGAGTGAGCATATCATGGAAACAAGAAATGACCCTTTCTGGGGTGCCTTAAAGTCGTCTCAATAATGCTTTGAAATATAGCACCTGCCTTCCGTTCGCTTGAGGCAAATGCTTGAAAACCTACGTCAGCTTTTCTTTTTCTGACCCTTACCAGCGTAGGATAGCAAATCAGTACTACCTTGTTAACCTTCCTGTCTTTTTTTTTGTCACTGCCTCTCTTTAACCACATCCTAATCAGTGAAATAATTTTGCTGACTTCATAACAGCCATGGGCTGCGTCATGAAAACTTCGTGCAAGGTATGTATGTGTGGAATACTTACCATGGGTAGCCGGGCTGATAGTTGTATCAAACATTTCCTTGTATTCAATTTTGTGAATTGCGTGGGGAATAGCTCCACTGCCGGTCCTCTCGCGTACGGACACTGGTTCGATTCTGTGGTCCGGTCCGAGAATACCCCTCTAGAATAGATACAATAAATAAAAGATTGCACCGTGCACATAATTCAGTATATGGCGGAAAACAAGTGCTGAACAATGGTTAAAATGAGAAGGCATTTCGGCCCCACCAGCACTTCGGCCCCACCAGCACTTCGGCGCTGTTTCGTTCTTGTTCTAAAACAGAAATTGCTTGAGTGGTGTTGGCGAAAAATTTCCTTCCTTTGTGAACAAAGCCGCTAGTGAACCCAAAATGTCTTTTATTTTAAGAATTGTCGTTGCATGTGATATCCCACCATCATGTTTTTCCGACCAGATGGCTTTCTGTCAAATCCTGGATTTCGTGACCTCAGTTTACGCGACGATTATTCCCGACAGCTAGATAGGGATCGGTGTGCTTAACACAAAGCAATACGCTAATTTCTTCTAATTGATTCCAATGTTTTAAAATAAGACAGAAAATCAAACAACAAAGGCTTCATGCCTACAGCAGTGTATTAGTGGCTATGGTGCTCGGCTGCTGGAACGAAAATTGCGGGCTTGATCATGGCAGCGGCGATCGATTTTTGATGGAGGCAAAATGGTGGAGGTTCATGTACTGTGCGCTGTCAGTGCAAGCTAAAAAACACCAGATGGTCGAAATTACCGATGCCTTTTACTACGACGTCTCTCATAATCACATAGTGGTTTTGGGATCTAAAACCCCAGATAATAACACAATTATTACAGGCTTGCTGAGAGAGAAAATGCTTCAAGTGGAGGTTCCGCTGGAGCCAAAGTTCCGACAAGTTATCTTGTCTTCTTCAAGGTACCAACACTGTCTTGAAGAATACAGGCCCACTTGTCCAACCACTGGCTTTATTGACGCCTCCTACTGAAGTATTTATACTTGTTCAACCGGTTTAGGACACAAATGTATCTGGGACGCTGATGTACCCCCCGTCACAGTACACTGAAAAGAAAACAATGAATTGACATCTGAAGAAGAATTGCTTCGAGAACCGCACCAGTGTCGCACGGACATTTTCGATTCCAATCAGAGCCATTTGAAATTGATCCAGATATCCACGTCGTGATCTGACTCCATGATCACAATTCAGCTGGTGTCTGCGCCAAACTCTTGATTAGGCTGTGCCATGTGGCAGCGATCAACTTATCGCGATAAAGAAATCAATTCAGGCCGCCCCTGATCGAGATCAAAATTGCCTTTGTTACGCTAGTTCTAGAGATATTGTTTATTAGATAACAGGCCTGTGTGCTTTTCATACTTATTTTACGAGTCTTCATTATTGGAAGTACATACAGCATTAGTGGGAACACAACACAGTGTTGCAGTCATGCATGGTGTCTGTACTCGCCTTGACAAATCGTCAGTTCCGTCATTCACTCAAAGAAATTGCGGGATTACTAGAAACAACCATCTGATGGCCTTGCGCAGGTTCAGTGTTCACACTGTCTTAATATTTGAAGTGTAATAAGTGCTACACCCGCCACGTGATGCAAACAAATAATCGCTCCTAATTGTCCCTGTCATGCCATATTGTCATGTCCCTGTCATGCCTCACGTACATTGTATCAATGTTTCCTTGTTCAATATTCTCCAAGTTCACCCCCTTACTTGTAAAGTTTTTTAAGCACGTAAAAGCAGAAAACATTAAATTATTCATCAAATGCGAATAGTTACCGTTGGAGTTAGCGTGACTCATGCGAAAAAAGTGTATCATGTGATGACATCACCTTACAACATCCTCTATACGTCACAATATTGACGTGCTGGGGGTGTCACATTAGGGTGTCATCTCACGTGGTCCCTTGGCCTTAAGTGGGCTGGTCCCGGAGGCCGGAAAGTACAGAAAACTTCAAGTATTGGGGCAGAGCGGAACCATACCAAGTGTGGAAGGTTTTGGTGGAGCGGCGGATCAGTACAGTCGAATGAAAAAAATAAAGAATGTGGCTTTTGACTTTCATAGTCATCTAGGCGGCTGCATAAGAGACCCCGTAAGTTTTTTGTGGTTCTTGAGGCGTAATATTCAATGGAACATCATAATCAGCCCTCTAACCGCCCTGAGATTTTTGTTTGACAGTTTTACATGCTGTCACAAATTACGTAACTTAAAAAAATGAAAAATTCGTTTGCGTACCATCTCCACACCGCTGTCGTTGCTCGTCACTGTAAGGGTTGCCAGGGCGATTTCATCTTCATATAGATCCTTATTGATGCTTTCGCCGTCGTGCTAGAAGATAATACAAGAAGCGTTTGGTCCAGCGCTTTTATTTCTCGTGAAAAGGTAAGAGTTGTCATCCGCTACTCACAAACACCGTCACGGGTTGACCACGTTCGTGCTTCAGTATGCGAAGCCGAGGAGCTGCCACAGATGTTTTTCTCAGGTTCAGCGTCAGGTCATCGTGAACTCGCACCACCATCCTTCCTTCGGATGACCTTTCCTGAAGAAGCGACGGGAATACAAGCCTGGGCTCTTGGGAACCTGCTGAAAGAGTCGTCGTCCTATGAAAAACTCAGTGAAACCCTCAATCACGACCCCAATTGGAGTTGTTCATTTCAAAGAACCGATTTCGTAACTAAACACTGTGGCACAACTTCAATTAACTAGTGGAAACAAGGTGCAAATGTTAATTCGTAGAGTCCCACACAGTGAAAACATCGAACTCACAGTTCGCATGTCGAGCAGTATGTGAATATACGCGAAATGCTGGTCAGACCACGTGATTTCGGAAATTCGCCACTATATTTAAATTACACGGGCTTTCACTTGACTGGACTTGACTGGAGCTTGATCACACGACTTGCGGTCTCGGGCAACGCTATTTCAGCAGACGCTTCCCGTTACCTAATTTTCGACTGGCGAAATATGTCTATTGTGTGCTCCCTGTTATCGGCAGGGCGCTCATACACGCAGACGTGTCTTGCCTTGTTCTATTACAAATAAAAGCAGACTCTAATCCATGTAATTAAAGAAGATCGAATTGCTTGCCCGCTATTTCATAGCGGAAGTCATCATAACTGCCATATCTTGTATTATTTATTTTATATTTATTCACCCAACGTCTACTATATGATTTAATACTACTGCAACTCCTTCACTACGACTACGACGCCGACGAGAACGATGACGGCGTTGAGCGGGCCTTTGAAACACCCACTCATAAGGCTAATCTCATATTTTGATTTATGGCGTGATTGCATGCTTCTGCTACGCAGAATTATATACGGTAAACAGACTCATTCCACTACACCCCATTCATATAGTTTTTCTTTTTTAACCAAGTAGTTTCAAGTTGTGACGTGACTTTCTGGTGGCACAACTACTTGCCAGACGGCATTAGTTTAACTCAATCAAAGTGAACATTATTATTTTGTTGAATCTTTCTAGTTTTTTTTTTGCACGGACAAGGTGATGATTCGTCACTCATAACCAACGACGCCGGCACCAACATCTGAATTTCCATGAAGCAAGCCTGTACGCCAGCACACTTCCTGACAACCCTGACTAGTGCTGTTTGTTGAATGTTGCAAGTAGTATACGACTCACTATTTTTGTGGTCAGCTTAACAGCTTAGTTACGTAAATCTAATTACTCATTTCTCAATCGATAAAACCGGTGAGAAACATTTCAAATAGAAAGTTGTATATTGATTGACAAAAAGCGCCATTACAATAATTATGACTTTCTGTCTATTAATTATCAGTGTTTTTCTGTTTATTTCACTGTGGGTGCCCACGAAATACAAAAAAATGTAGCACTAGAGATATCCGCTTGCATATACAACATGCATGCATTATACATATGAATATTTCATGTTCTAAAGGGTGTTATTGCCGATGTAGTAACCACGAATTTCTCGTGTGCACATACCCGAGCGACATTGTAACCTGTAAAATACAGTGATTCATTGCTGCCGTCCCGCTAGTCATTGCATTGCAGCAGCGTAGCTAATCCACAACTACACCAAACTGATTGTGTAACCTCGAAATCATAAGCTAGTGTGCGATAAGCAAACTATAACGACGCCACGCATCTATACATTCATTTTATCATTCTCCGCAGAAAAACTTACCTGCAATAGGAAGAATCAAAAGAAGAGCCAAGGTAGACGTTGCCATTCTCTGAGGAGTAAAGTGTCTACAAAAGATCAATTATTGGGTTTCTAAAAAAATTGCAAATATTGAAGAAAAGTGCATGAAGGCATTCACAATGGGGCACTAAACTGCACTATAGTCTACAGTCTCATAAAAGCCCAATATTGGTATTATAAATGTTATGAACATAGGCAGAGTACAAAAAAAGTAAAAGGCAATGTGAGCTTGAAGCAGCAAATGTATCATACAAATTCAGGTAAATGTCGATAAACAAAGCACTTGGAGGCGGCATTTGAGTATGACGACTGGCATGAACTATATACTACAAACCTACATCTGGGGAAGCCACAGGACATTGCTCTCCATACTGTGGTTGTGTTTCTACGGCTACCACCAGAAGATGAAGTCAATGTAGTAGCTGTCTGTTGTGCAACCGAACTTCTTTCCCCAGGCTTGCTGCTTATTCTAGCAGGCCAGTGCAATTAACTACCCAAAGTAGAAAAAAAACACGACAGAAAAACTACTGCAAAAGTTTTGGTGCCTTTTTGTAGTTTTGGACGTGGCATGGCTTTGCTAGATGTTGAAATTAGAGAAAGCGAGACAGAAAAATATTCAAAGAAATTAAGAGATACCAAGGAAGAGAGGAATTAAAGAAAGGTAAATAAAGACATCAAAATCGAGATAGAGAGAAAAGTATGCGGAAAGCGAAATAATGAAATGGGAAACAAAAGGTAAAAAAAAAACTCTCAAGACTCAGAAAGAAAGATAAAATAACACAAGAAAAAATTCGGCAGATTACACATACTTCGGAATCAACGTTATGCGAAGCATGCGGACGGATGGTGATTCTGTTGCATTTTTTTATTGAGCGACACGTCATAAAATGATGCTAAATATATGTACAAATATATCACGCACATACATATGTTGAAAAGTTTCAGATGTTTATATAACCAGTTGTTTGCACTTGCACAACGATGCCAACTGAAATAGGCGTATTAGAAACACCAGAAGCTGATATTAAGCGCTAATGCTCGCGACGATGCTGGCCCTGGACACGGCTACATATATCAACTTCAGCGCATGGCAACTAACCACAATTTACGTTAACATGACGAGAGGACTGTATCAAAAGAGTATATATATGTAATGTTTATAAAATTGGGTTGGCAGCCCTGCAACCACTATTGACATTTCAAGAAGATAAGAGTTAATTCGAAAAGTAGTTCCGAGAGCTGGCGTATCTCTGTGGTAAAGTGCTTCATTGCCTTGTAGAAAGCTTGGATCTAATTCCAGCTGGGACCCTGACATTTATTCTTTGCATTCGTTGGGTCGACGCCACCGATGTCGGGTATTTCTTAACGCTCGCATGTTTATATTGCACGTGTGTGTTCTCGTCGTTGTGTCAGTCACCTGTGGCACATACCCGCTCGTGGGTATGTGCCACTCTCTGGCGGGAAGTGCTTGACATTGTGACATTAGTCATGTCTTGACCAGCGCATCATGTTCGTCAAACCATCTTTCGCTCCCATGCTAATTTTCGTTCACGCCAAGTTAAGGGGGTGACCACGAGGGCAAACAAACGTAAATGGCTAGAAGATAGATAGATAGATAGATAGATAGATAGATAGATAGATAGATAGATAGATAGATAGATAGATAGATAGATAGATAGATAGATAGATAGATAGATAGATAGATAGATAGATAGATAGATAGATAGATAGATAGATAGATAGATAGATAGATAGATAGATAGATAGATAGATAGATAGATAGATAGATAGATAGATAGATAGATAGATAGATAGATAGATAGATAGATAGATAGATAGATAGATAGATAGATAGATAGATGTCCAAGTTTCTACGCTTCATCTACAGGGCTAGCTTACAATGGTGGTGCAGGGTATCTTTTAGTGTGGTTTTTGGCATGCTCTCTTAGATGCAAAGCACATTGCCCATGAGGCCTGTTTTGGGTCGCGCCGTAGCCGCCTCTGACGATGACGCTGATGACGATGTGGAATTAGCGCGTTCCAGACCACACATTTTCTCTCTGCCATCCCGGTGCAGCACATGCAATGTACCCACTATACGTCATGACGATGATCATGATGATCATAGACAACGACTGGCTTGTGCAGTATACGACATCCAGATAATCTCTACGACTCATTTTGTACGACTGGAAGCAACCAACAACCACCAGAAAAACGTGCTCAGACCTCGTCTTAGCCATTTTCAGGCTAGATTTCATACCACAAAGCTGTAATGATGTTGGTTAAACGAAATTCACAACTGAGCACAACATCAATAAACATTGTATATCGCAGTACGATGTCACGGGTGATTTACGGTAACACCTAACGATCTCACTGCTTCGCCCACTCATCATCATTCACTTCGTGAATATTGCGTAATTATTATTATTTCACTAAATAGATGAAGGACTGTCTTTCTGTTTGTAGCAACCAAATGAATTCAGTGAGGAGGTCAAAAAGGTCGAAGAAAAAAGAATATTTGGTGAAGTGCACTTACTGGTAAGTCTACAGCATAGAGCTGAGATAATCGTGGAAACAATAGGCAAGATGACTCGGAATAAACACAGGTTTATGGGTACGTATTTATGTCGTTTTGCGCCACCTTTTAGTTCGTTGGCATTTTAACTTATTTTTTGGTCCTTCTGAAACACGTCACTGCTTGAGAGTCACATTATATATCAGCTGAAACTATTCTGTATGCTGACTCTATATAGTTCACTCAATGTGGCTTCGCAAAAGGTCATGTGGTGTTTATTTTTCATTGATCACTGATGTCCGAGTGGCGTCAGGAAGTCTGTTGTGTACTTCAATGTTGGTGGACACACGCGGTAACATTTGAGGCGTATCGTTTTTTAAAAAAAGCTAAGTCCACTCTAAGAGACATCGTAACACGCCGTTGTTTGGTACAGACATTATAAGCCCCGGCCTGTTGCATCAATTTTCTGCCACTGTAATGTTGTCCCCAAAATACCTCAAACCTATATTGCCGATTGAATCTGTACATCTCAGTAGTCGCTATTCGGCAGTAAAATTTGGGTTTGCCTCTTAAATTGAAATTGGGATCTTTCAATTGGTATTGCAAAGTTAATCCAGCTGGCAGCGAATAATCGATCTAGAAATATTTTGCGACAATTGCCACAAATAAGGCTAGTTCGGTGCGGGCCTTTGTTTTATGGGCTTATTGGTGATGACTAGACATGATGGGTGAGTCATCCTTCGTGGTGAGAGACGCACTCTCTGGACTGTCGTCAGCGTTTTCTCGTGCTTGGCGTCTGTTGAAGGTCGTCAATAAAATTGTGGGACCCTTAAGTTTCGCCTTTACCAGTTGAAGGCAATAGTGAAATAA